TAAATTTGTCTCGTTCATATCGATCGAGAATATCACGCAAGCTTTTGTATACTAGGGGTTGTAGAAATTGATGTAACTTTTTAATCAAATTAATATTGTAAATTTTAAACATATAATCAACTTTAAATCTAATGGTTGGATGTATAGTTATAATCTCTTAATCTAAGAAGTTAGCTCATAATCGCATTCGGTCTGCCAAGATAATTTAATTCTTGATTACTTCCCTCTCCCTAAAAATTTGTTTTTATATATAATTTACTTTCCTCGTTAAAAGAAAAAGCAGAATGTAGTTATTTTTGCAGAAGCCGCTTTTGGTAAGAGCTTTTAGATAAGTACTTTTCAAGAAAAGCTGTTGAGTGTTTGGGTATAAAACTATTAGAAGTGTTTTTTAATATGAAAGATTGTGTAAAATGACTATAAAGAACTTATAATATAAAATATGAATAAAAATTCTAAACAATAAAAAGTAAACAAAACGGATCTTGTTAGATTTCTTTTATATTAAATAATATAATTTTATAATTTATTTTATTTTTAAAATTATATAAATGACGGAGCGTAGGTTGGGAGTAGTTTTATTTTAGAAGTTTGTTTGTCTGCACTTTTAGTCATATGCAATTTAAGCTGCACAAATGATCTATAATGACCATCTATCTATAAAATATATAAAGACTTTTCCAATAACCACCTTCACCGTTTCAAAAATTCAGCCCTCCTACGTATCCACATCAGCACCCTTTCCACCAATCAGATGTTTTCCTAACTTCTTTTTTCTTTTCATTATAATTTTTTTTTGTAGTTATTATGTACTCCAATTAGATTGTGCCACTTAACACACACACTCTCTCTTATTTTTCAATCACCATACTATTCTTATTCAATCCATATTTTTTCCGCTTCAACTCCGAATTTAAATATTGTTGCGCAAAAAAATCAGATTTTATGTGATCTACTTAATGATACCCATTTTGATATAAGTTGAATTTTTTTTCTTTCAAAAACATTATCACAATCATATATTCACAAGTCATTCTCATATTCAAGACCCAAATTTGTTTTGTTTAGGTGCTTGATATGTATGGTGAGATTTATGCTTGATTTTTATTTTGGTAGTTTCTTGTTAATTATTATTTTATAAATATTTATAAAAAAAAACCACGGGTACCCATCAACTTGCGGATACCCAGCGGGTTGGGTTGGGTTTGAGTTTTTCAAACCCAGCGGGTTTTACCCCGGGTTTTTTTGACGGACAAACCCATGGGTTTGGGTTCGGGTTTGGCAAAACCCGCCCCAACCCGACCCATTGCCATCCCTATCTGGAATACAGACATACCCAGCTGACCCGAACTGATACTTTCAAGAACAGAAAAGGGAAAAGTTTTGAAGATGGGGAAGATGGTGGCTCTTAGGTCTCTATATCGTGCAGCTTCTCGTAGATCTTCGATAGGCTTCGTAGCTGTTGCTGGCAACCAGCTCATTCACCATCAGTCAGCTCCTCGATCCCTGCTCACTCTCTCTTCCGCCACCGCTTCTGCGGATCGCATCGCTTCCGGTAATGCCTCTTTTTTGAACCATACTTCCGGTTATGGGTTTGGGCGCTCTGAGTAGTTATTTGGTTATCAATTTCATCATCACGCTTGGAGTTATTATCTAAAACCTGGTTTGGAGTCTTTTGAAATTCTGGGTCGATTTGGGAGCGAATTTGGTGAACTAGGTTGAATGAATCTGAGGTAATAGGAAAATGAAGCTATAGCCTTTATCTGAACATTGTCGGGTATGTGTGAGAGGAATTTTCTTTGGTTCCTGTGTCTAGCTGTATAATTTTTTTTATATAAATTGTCTAGCTGTAGAATTGTACCAGCAATTGTCATCGATGTGAAATTCATCAAGGCTTATGTGAATTAAATGGATCCAATGATTGATTTTATCCACAAACGACTATCTGTGTGAAGTTGATGCTACCTTGGTAATGATAGTTCATGCCTCTTTTAACGTGGTCTTTTCTTGGTCATGCTTGTTGTTAGGTTCTCGGTCTCTTTTGGCAATCAATATTGGTAGCAAAAGATCTTATAGTGAGGATGTGGCACACTTGCCCGATATTAAGGACACTGATGTCTTATGTGCTTTCAAGGACTTGATGGCTGCAAGTTGGGATGAACTTGATGCGACAGTCATCCATGATGTGAAGAATGCTCTGTCGAAGAACACTGATGACAAATCCGGTCAAGAGATATTGAAGAATATTTTCCGGTCATCTGAAGTTGTCGAAGAATTCAGTGGGAATGGTCATGTCTCTAAAGATGGAGCTAGATGACAGCATTGGGATGAGCGGCGAGGTACGCTCATGGTTTTTCATTTGAAATTCTTAGTTCTATATTTTGTATTCGTCAAATGGTTCTTGAGGGTTAATAATAGTTTGTAAAAATGTGTGGCACAGGATGTAAAACCGCTAACAGATGATTATGCAAAGGCAATCTGCATGTTTTTTGAATGATACTCTGCGTATTTGGAGTCATTTGGACCTGATGAGGCCTATCTGAGAAAGAAAGTAGAGATGGAATTCGGTTCAAAGATGATATTTTTGAAGATGAGATGTGCTGGCCTCGGATCAGAGTGGGGCAAGGTATTATGACTTGCTCAATTTTACTGAACGCTAATTAACTGAAATTTACGATTCAGATTATTGCTCCCTCTATCTAGCACCTTTTGCTTTTATGGGTGGAATAGGTTAGGGTGGTTACTCAATTTTGAGTAATCACGGTGGCTACCAACATTTATACCATTCATTATTTTAATTTTATTATAATTTTAAATTAATGATTAAGATTAGCTAAGGGTAATTTAGAAAATGAAAAACATACCACACCTGATTACTGTATATATTTTACTCAAACCCTAATACAACCTATCTACCTAGTCGTCGTCTCCTCCCTCCTCTCCCTGTCGCTCCCGCTCTCGATCAACCTCCGGCTCGTCGGCTCTGCCTTCCCGGCCGACTCCGAGGCCATCCTCTCTTCCTTCTTCTCCTCCACCCACACCTCCGACCACTTCCACGTCATAACCCCCGATCCCGTCCCACCTCACAGCGGCTCCCACCGCCTCGCCGTCCGCCACACCCCTCACCTCGACTTCTCGCACTCCTCGCCTTCCCTCGCTTCCTGACTCTCCGACGCCATCAAATCCGCCATCGCCTCCACCCCTTCCCCTCTTCGATCAACCCTACTCTCCATCCCTTACGACTCCGTCGACCAAACCGGAGTTGGGAAATCACTGCTCGCCAGAGCATTAGCAATGGAGTTCCTCGGGTCGACAGATTCGTTGGAAAAGGTGGGATGAATAAAAACCCTAGATCTGATTTTTTTCCGCATTGGTAGTGATTTTTTTTGTAGTGGTAGTGTTTTTTTTTGCATTGGTATTGTTTTTGTCGCATTGGTATGGATTCAATCTGCAATGGTATTGATTTTTTGTGAAATGGTATAGATTTATATTGGTAGATTGTTTATATTGGTAGTTTTCGTGTAATGATATAGATTTATTTCTGCAATGGTATTAATATTTTTCAAAGTGGTAGCGATTTCGTGTTTTTTTTCTTTTGCAGAAAGATTGAGAAAAATAAGAAAAATGGATCTGGTTGAAGATTATGGAAGTGAGAGAAAGAGAGAGAATTGTAATTAATAGATTCTTGTAACTACCTAAAATGTAATTTATTAAAAAAATCAATTAATACAATTTATTTTTCATACCCAATTTACCCTTAGTAACCACGGTGATTACTACTTATATAGTAATCACCGTAACCTGTCCCTGTATGGGTTTCTAGGGATGTTTTCTTTTCATCTGTTTTGCCTCAAAATGCTTCATGCATTTGCATATTGGTATCATCTTCTTTTTAGCGAGATTAGTTCGTCATGGCTTTAACATTTTAATGATGGTAAATGTTTTGAATCTCAGGGCTTACTAACTTTTATCTTTTCAGTTGTGCCTCTTGAACTGTACTTGGCTGTACTTAGGGATGGCAATGGGTCGGGTTGGGGCGGGTTTTGTCAAACCCAAACCCAAACCCATGGGTTTATCCGCCAAAAAAACCCGGGGTAAAACCCGCTGGGTTTGAAAAACTCAAACCCAACCCAACCCGTTGGGTATCCGCGGGTTCATGGGTACCCGTGGGTTTTTGTGGTAAAAAATTTACAATAACAAGTTTCTTTCAAAATAAAAGTTTAACATCAATTTTCTCATACAAATTATTCATACAAAAAACACCAATATAGAGCATACAAGCAAACCGCAAATGATCAATACAAATTGTTCAAAATTAAAGATAAACATCTATAAACAATAATATTAATTGAAAGCTTCTTCCTCGTCAACTAAGTTTCTTCACTCTCCACTTCATAATATCAACTTCATTCTAAACAATTAGAAAGAACAAATTATACATGTCTCCACAAACATAAAGAATATTAGTTGTTTAAGGAAATATTATTTAGAATATTAAATATACGGGGAAAGTAATTATATGTGTGTGGGGGGTACCCATGGGGCGGGTTTACCTAAACCCAAACCCAACCCGACCCGGTGAATAGTGTAGCGGGTTTAAACCCGAACCCGGCCCAAAACCCGTCAACACGGGTTTTACCCGCGTTGACCGGGTTGGGTCGGGTGGGTACCCGTGGATTCGGGTTTTGTTGCCATCCCTAGCTGTACTTTTATGCATATTTCGAAAGCTAGCCTAAATCACTTGGTCCTGTTTTTGCAGGTCACCATGATTGGTACTTCTAGACTTGCTGGATCTTATGTTGAACAAAGAGCTTAAAGTCCCCGAATCTGTGATCCGATTTCGCTTAGTTGTGAAAGTTTTTTCTAGCTTGGAATATGTGTTTGTCGATGGTTTCTATCAAGTTGTTGATCTTGGAAACCTTTTAAAGTGGAGTTCGATTGTAGTTCAATAAAAGCTTAGCTATTTCAAGATTTGCATTGATGTAATACTGTTCACGTCATTTCAGTTCCATTTAGCTGTATTTCACTGGAAGCAAAGGTTTCTTCAAGCAAATAAGTCCGGCAACTTTTTTTCCTTGTGTTGGTGTATAATATCATCCAAGTTGGAAACGATCGATTTAAAAATAATAAGAAAGGATCTGTAACTGTAATACTGGTTGTTTTCTTAGCAGATCATCGAAAACTATCTCATAGAATATTGATGTTCATACAGTGAATTTCTTGATGGAATAGGACTGAACTTTTGATTTCCAATCTAGAATCTGATACGTGGGAATAGACATGGCAATATGACAGAACAATAAACTTTGCATCCTTCCGCATCAGTCTATCTTATTCTCAAACTCTTCCAAAGGTTCTCGTCTTTGTTGCAAGCTGCAAGAACTCTAAGGCAGTCTGGCTGATCTAGTGCCTTTCCGCCATAGCCAGGAATCAGAGGGAGACTTAGGCAGAGGTGGGAGCAAAACAGCCTTCCTACAGAGACCGAATGGCCACCCTTGGCAGTGGCAAAGCTCCTGCAATATCGAAACCCGCCTGTGAAAACTTGGGAACTCTACCTGACTCAAGCTCGAACACCTGGACAACAAGTTTGTCTTCACTGAGAAGAACTCTTCGCCCCCCTTGCTCAACCCGCTCGAACAACACGAAAGACAGCTCCCAACAGAGAAGAAATCTTCATCCTTTTCAACTTCTCCATCCTTCTGCTTCTCAGAACTAAAGAGCAGTTCCCCTGAAAAGCTATCTGTGATCACAAACACCTTCTGCTTCGACTTCTCCATGGCTCTGCTCCTGATTGCTGACACGACAACCTGAAAAAGAAACAATATAGTTATTTTCATAAAGACAAAAACAAATTCACGTGTGTTATTTTTTGTATGTCCGTACAGGAAAATTGGAACGGTTTGAAGAAGTGGAAAGTACTTCGTGTTCATCAACATCTTCGAGCTCAGTTGTCGTGTTGGGAACATAATCCTCATCCTGCTGCTGCTGGAGAGAGCTTATATGGCCGCCGCAAGATCGACAGATTGAGAAGGCATCTTTGAGAGTTGAAACCAGAAGGAACTTGCATTTCTTTGATGGGTTTTGTGGGGGTGGCTCTTCCTGATAGAACACACCCATTTTGATTCAGAGAAAGGAATTAGACAATACACAAAAAAAGCTAAAACTTTGGTGGGGAAACTGATGCTTAACTTGGCTATAAAGAAGAAAGGAAGAAAGGGAGGAAGTGCAAGCACCATGGAATGTGGGGGAAGGGGAAAAGTCTCAATCTTGAGTTGATGTCCAAATTGACCTCAAAGCTTGATGGTGGCTTTGCAGCTGCTCACCTCAAAGATAGTGCTAAGAGTGTTCTTGTTGTTGGCTTAAGGGTAAAGATAAAGTTTTTAAGGGCACAAATCAGAAATTACCCACTTGAGACAAGGTGCTTATTTCGTCACTTTCAATCCCCCACTTTGAAGATGAAGCCTTGTTGTGGTGAAAAGGAGACAAGACATTACACCAAACTATGTGTGACTGGTTTTCCTTTTTCTTTCATTGCACCCTCCTTTTTTAACTCATTCATTACGGGAAAGATGATAACTGCCCATGAACACTCAATGTGAAAAAGAAACCTGAAAATTAACTGGGGGAGATAGAGATGGAGATGGTGCTGGTGCTGGTTCTTTAGCTCTAATTCTAAATATTATGTTAATCCAGTCGGCAAATGCATAGAGCAAGATTGGATTTTTATCTCTTAGATTCGAACTGGTCGCCGTTCTCGCGCAATAAGAAGCTTGCAAAGATTCAGATTCAGTTCTACTCGGTCAGAAGAAGGATTCCAGATGTCGGTTCGACAGTGATACATGCATACGGATCTGGGCAAGGCAGGGTGAGATCCGGCGCAGCCGCCATAGCTGTAAGACTCTGTTTCTCATACCTTTTTCCTTTTCGGTAGGCGTCAGAATCTGAAATCCGGGTTAGAAGGGGATATCTCTTTCTCCTTCCATATCTCGTTCCGCACTTTCCCTATTTTGTTTCGGAATCGGAAGCGAATTCAATAAATAGTAGGCTTGTGCTCGGTTTTGAAAGATAGAGGTCTGCTGTAGAAGATACAGGGATATAATCAGTTTTGAAACAGAGAAGCAATGGCCGATGGATTGAAGGATTGGTCTGAATTAGGGGAGGACCTGCTGTCTAGGATTGGGCAATGTTTGAGGACATTAGAGGATGTGATTCGATCCCGTGCTGTTTGTAAACCATGGAGGCGAGCCCTATTGCCCGAGCAGCAGCGCAGGTTTCCCCCATTCACACAGTGGCTGATGCTGCCGTTTTGCAGGAGCAACAACATGAACATGGAAATTTCAATTCGCAGTACCATCTCCAACTCCCTGGCGGCAGCCGCGGTCGCCACGCCGGTGACTGGGTGCAAAGGCTCAGAGAACTGCCGCTGCTTTTACAATGTGGCGCTGCATCAATTTCACCACATTGAGTTCCCCCAGGGGCTGCAAGGCAAAAGGTACCGCGGATCCACAATGGGCTGGCTGTGCATTGTGGATAAAACGCCCGGTATCTCGTTGTTGAACCCTCTTACTAAGACCGAGATCGCTCTTCCACCCGCCACATCTTTCCCCGATGTGCTGGCCTACCGCTCTGAGAAGGCCCGAGGTGAGTACTTGCTTCGAATGACAGATGGTTCCGAGGAATCCATTAGCAAGAACTTCTTTTTGAAGAAGTACCTGAAGAGGGTTGTTGTATCTGCTGAGCCCACCTTGCAGGAATGCATCGTGATGGCCATCCGCTGGAACACCGAGGATAATCGCTTGGCATTCTGCAGGCCTGCTGAAATTGAGGCAGGATGGAAGTTGGTTGCTCACGAGGAAGAGAATGGTATACCCCCGGACAAGATTGGTTTCGTGGATGTGGTTTTTTGGAGGGATCGATTTTATGCCCTTGACTGGGGAGGAAGGATTCTGGTGTGTGATTTTTCTGCTAACCCGCATCACCCGACCCTGTCGTTCTTTCTTGAATTTCATCCCAATCATGATGGTTATGGCTATGCCGACAATCAATACTTGGTTGCGTGTCCAGCTGCTGTTACCGGGGATGACGATGATCAGCTGGTGATGGTATCTAGATTTACGAAATGGATGGATTTTGACGAGAGCGATGATGACGGCAATTCGGATGATGATTGTCCACAAGGCAACTCCTCCAGAACTTACTGGGCCGAGAAGTTCAAAATTTTCAAGATGAAGAAGGATGCCATTGGATGGAATGAGTTTAACAGCTTCGGAGAATTTGCCTTGTTCTTGGGGTTCAACTCCTCTGCAACTTTTGTCCCCACCAAAGCGCATCCTGGATTACTTCCCAATTCGATTTATTTCACGGATGATATCATTGACAGCTATCGAGGGCAGATGCATGGAGGTCATGACATGGGGGTTTACAACCTTGCCACTAAAGAGGTTATGCCTCTCTATTCTACCACCAGTTTGCATAACATCCCTTTAATGATCTCTCCGTTACCTCTATGGTTCTCTCCATCGAATGTTACTGGTTCGTAAGCACCGGGCTGAAGAAATCAACTATCGGCCAGTTTACTTACTCTTGTAGCCAGCCTATTGTAGGAGAAAGAGAGGCCTCTGCAATATTCAGTTAGCTTTTCTTTTGCCCATCCACTGTGGTGCTAGGTTGTTCCTTAGATACCTTCTCTGCAAAGGAAACAAAGGAGAAGGAGGCCTATCACGAACACAACGTGATGTGCAACTACTGTTACAGAGAATAAGCTGGGTTGCTATTCTTCCATAGCGATACAGGGGAGTAGCTTTGCGCATTTGATTTCACTACATTTGATGATACATCTATGTTCAAGCCAACCAGCATACATAACAATCACAACAGTAATAGCGCTTTCATTCATTCCATTTCCGCTCTTGACGAAAATCCACAATGAAATTAAGCAGCCTCCAAGTGCTGAAAAGTGGTTCAGATCCCCGCTCCATCACAGATTCTGGGTTTTCCATCTCTTGGAGAAGAACCAAGAACGGTTTTAGATCTGTAGTAGCTGAAGTTACAAAGTGAAGAATTCTAGAACAGACACAATCGAGGCCAATGGATCATCCTACTTAGCTGACACAAAAGGCTTGATCCATGTAAATTTGAACTACATCAAAAAGGCCCATAAGATCCATGAACTACCATAGAGCCCTAGCCTTGTCCATTCTCCATGAAGAGCCTCCTTGGACAGTTGACATCCACAATCACAATGGTTAAGAACAGTGGCGGAGGCAGGGCCATTTGGTCTGTCTCGGGACAGGGGTAAATTTTGGTGGAACAAAAATATGCCATATATATTTATATTGGTGATGAAACACAACACGTATAGGTAGTATTAGAGTACTTTGTCATTACAACACAACTCATTACTTGTCCAAAATTGACATAAAATTAATTTATTATACAATAAACGAAATTCCAATTGCAATAAAGAACTAATCGAGTCTCTTTTCTCCTTATGCCTATTTGATCTTTCCTCAACAACCCTGAAATTGTCTAGCGACAACGACAATCCTGCTAGTTTTGATCTACCAATTACAACTGCAAGTGTAAAAAGAGCATTTTCAGCTTTGAGTTATATTTAAGAACAAGTTTCCAAAGTCGATTTGGCGACTAGTTTGCTAATACTTGTTTAGTAAGATACATTGAAAGAGACTTATATAATAGTGTAGACAACAAATGTTTTTGCGCTTCTTTCACTATATGAAATTCCTTCGTAGTTGTTTCTGAAAAGTATGATAGTATAATCGGTTATTTTTAATTTAAGAATGAATTATTTGGATATAATTATTTTTTATTAAATAATTCTTTTATTAAATATTTATATATTTAAGTTATGAAAAGAGGACAGAGGTGGTTTGAAATGCTGCCTCCGCCACTGGTTAAGAAGGTAGTGATTGCAATTTGAACTTGTTTCTGATGTGTATTATTTGAACTGATCCACAGTAGTGTGGGATAGCACACAGTACTATTTTTGGCTTGTCTCGTTTTGTCTCGTTCTGTTTTTTATCCGTGTTATCTCAATTTGTATCACTATTTCTCTTATTTCGACTTATCTTAACTTATATTTTCGCACAATGATACTTTAAATATGTGCAAGACTTTATCTTTCTACTAATTGGAATCAATTAGTCTAGCTTTATCTCCTTTTGTTTTATCACTAAAAAATAAATATTTTCTTCAAATAATTTATAAGAACGAGTCGACCTACCCAGTGGCGTAGCCAGATTTTGAATTGATCGGGGTCCTTGAAATTTTTCAAACTCTAAAGTTTGTGTATCTAATGAACTTTGAGCTGACTAGTATCATTAGATGAGCTAACATCGACAAGAGTATGAGGTCCTGAATTCGAATGATCATCCTAGGACTCCTCTCCTCAAAACGTGGCTCCGCCACTAAAACTACCACAATCCCTACCTACGGATATTACCGAACATGATCAGCGGTTGGCGCGGGGAAATATGGGTATTGAGTTACAAGGTAAAAAAAAAGTCCACGATGTATTATCATGTTTTGAAAATAATTGTAAAATAAATTCACTGTCTACAAATGTTCAATAAATTTTTTTTAATATATCCTACTAAACAATCATTTACGAACTGATCGCTTTTTTTTCTTTTTTGTAACATAAAGCTAAAAAGGGTCTATCATCAGTTCCTTTTAATCCAAAAAACAACTCATTATTTTTAATACAATTATAATAATTCTTAAAATCCCTTGGTTATGCCTTTACATGAACCCTTGTTGAAGCCTCCGAAGCTTGTTTTTTTTGCGAGCAAAGGAAAGGAAGCCAATTGAATTCGTCTAGAAAGAATCTATGGGAATAATGCTATTCATCTAGAGTTATCAAAACAAGGCCAAAGCCCCAAAATATCTCTCAAAGTGTCTCCAAAATAAAATGTCGGCCTTTGGTCCCAATAAAGGGTCACGTGGAAATAATGAAATGAGTGATTATATGAATGTGTATAATTTATCTTTTTTATATATAAAATTGTTCATAATGTTAACTAATCTGAAACAGAGTTATAATCGAAACGTACGTAATCGAAACAGAGAGACACAGATTTACGTGGTATACTCAACGTATGATCGTCGAGACTAATCCACGGCACAAAGGCGGTTTTGGTGTTTCTTATTAACTGCCGAATGAGGTACAGGTTACATATATACATATCCACAAACCCTAGGCGTGAAAGGGAGGAGGAGAATCGGTAGGGTTTTGGTACTAGGCCTAAGTACACGTTACATGTGCATGGGCTAAAAGCCCATCACTCAACAGCCTCCCCCAAATTGATGGAGGTCTCGCATCATCAATTTGCCAGCGAGATAAGAGTGACGACTAGACGTGAAAGCCTTAGTTAAGAGATCATCAATCTGCTTCTCAGACGAGATATGAAAAACTCGGATCGTACCATCATTCACAAGGTCTCTGATGTAGTGAACATGTACCTCAATGTGTTTAGTGCGATCATGAAGAACGGGATTGGTGGCAATCCGAAGTGCACTCGTATTATCAACATAAAGCTGCATGGGAACCTCACACTCGACACCAAGCTCACCAAGCAATCTGCGAATCCATTCTAACTCAGAGGTGACTTCTGACATAGCTTGATATTCAGCCTTTGTAGATGATTTAGAAACCCGTTCCTGTTTCTTACACCGCCAAGATATAAAAGAATCACCCAATCGGACACACCAGCCACTAGTCGAGCGGCGGGTATCAATACATCCTGCATAATCGGAGTCAGAGAAGGCTTGGAGGACAAATGAACCTGTAGCCGGAAGAAACAATCCAACACTACGCGTTCCCTGGAGATAGCGCAGAATCCGATGGACCGCATCCATATGCGCAGTACGAGGAGACCGCATGCATAAGCTATATCCGGACGGGTCGATGTCAAGTAAATTAAGCTGCCAACAATACTCCGATAATGTTTACCACCATCACTCAACAAAGTGTCTGTTTCCCTCCCCAGTTTCAGGTGAAGCTCCATAGGGGTAGAGACAGGAATACAATCGGAATAGCGAGAAGAGTCGAGGAGATCATCAATATACTTTTGCTGAGTAAGATGAATACCTGCAGGAGACCGATGAACCTCCAGACCAAGAAAGTAAGACAGGGAGCCCAACTCCTTCAAGCTAAACGACTCGTGAAGACCCTGGGTGAGGGCCGAAATACCCTCGGCATCGTCCCCACTAACGATCATATCATCAACATATAAGAGAAGCACCACTATACCCCGAGGAGAGCGTCGTGTAAACAAGGAGGGATCATTATGGCTCTGTTGAAAACCAATTCCCAGAATAGTAGACTGGAACTTCTCAAACCATGCACGCGGTGCCTGCTTCAAGCCGTAGAGAGAACGATGAAGCAAACACACCTGATCAGTACGATTGCCATGCGGATAACCAGGGGGAATCTCCATATACACTGTCTCCTTGAGATCACCATGCAGGAAAGCATTCTTGACATCAAGCTGATAAAGAGGCCACTTTCGAATGGAAGCAACAGCTAGGAGCGAACGAACATACACCATCTTTGCCACAGGGGCAAAGGTTTCCTCAAAATCGATACCATGTATCTGTGAAAAACCTTGAGCCACCACACGCGCCTTGAAGCGTTCGAGAGAGCCATCCGGTAAAAATTTCAGATTATATACCCAACGACTGCCAATAACCGGGACGGGTGGAGGAGGACGAGGGACAATAGACCATGTCTTATTGGCGTCGAGAGCATCAAACTCGGCACGCATGGCACCGTCCCAGTTTGGGTCCCCCTGGGCCTGAGAAAACCGAGTAGGAATCGGGATCGACTCAGCACTGTAGGCAACATAGTCTTTGAAACGAATCGGTGGCTGACCCAAAGTGAACCGGTTGGACCGGCGCGACTGAGGAGGAGACTGTGGGGGCGTCGCCGGGAGGGAGGGAGCATCGAGCTGCGGACCAGGATCAGTAGCATCGTCATCATCATCATCGGAAAAGGAAGGGAGACCTAACGACTCATCAAACAAAGGGGGACTCGACGAGGTGGTAGAATAGAACATAACATTTTCGAAAAACACCACATTGCAGGCAATCCAAAGACGACGAAGATCAGGATCATAACAGAGATAGCCCTTATAGACATCACTAAAGCCGAGGAAGGCACAACACACCGTTTTCGAAGTAAGTTTAGTACGTTCAGAACGGGGAAGAAGAACAAAACAAAGACTCCCAAAGACTCGAAGACGGGAATATGGAGGATGCTTCGAGAAAAGACGATAGAAGGGACTCGTATTATCTAGGAGAGGAGTGATCTGGTAGTTGATAAGCCGGACGACAGTGGAAACAGCTTCGGGCCAAAAAGACGTAGGAACATGGGATGCTAAAAGAAGTGCTCGAGTAACTTCAAGCACAAGACGATTCTTTCGTTCAACTAAGCCATTTTGCTGAGACATACCAGGACATGATTTATGGGTAAGAATGCCCCGGGATTTGTATATGTTAAGTAGAGGGAATGAGCTAAACTCACCACCGGAATCAGAACGGACTACACGGACGGTTCTATCAAACTGAGTCTGGATCATGGTGAGAAATTCAGTGGCAACAGCAAGAAGATCAGATTTGAGGCGCAAAAAATATACCCAAGTATAGCGAGTAGCATGATCAACAAAGAGGGCAAAATATTTATAACCATGGCGGGAAGTAACACGACTCGGACCCCACAGATCAGTATGGACCAGATGAAAAGGTTCAGTAATAATAGTAGTACTCGAAGGAAAGGAAATCCGAGTTGTTTTAGCCTCCACACAACTGGTACACTTAAAATCCGAAATATGCCCAGGTGAAGGAGATTTACCAAACAAATGTTGTCGAAACATAGTCTTAAGCCGATGAGAATTAGGATGCCCTAACCGAGAATGCCACAACTGAAAATTTTGTTCACCCAGACTCGAAAAAACAGGAAAAGAAGACACCCTAGACACCGAAAGAGAGCTTGATGATGATGATTGCGAGATGGACAATGTGGAAGCCAGCTCATCCAGCTCAAATATGCGGCCACGCTGGCTACCCCTCCCGAGCTCCCTCCCCGTCGTCAGATCCTGAATAACACAACCAGACGGTGCAAAAACAACACAACAACCTTGTTCAGTAAGTTGGCCAACGGACACCAAGTTAGGAACAAGACGGGGTACATGCAGAGTATTAGGTAAATGAACACGAGAACTATTAACCGAACCAACACCATTAACCTGAAGCTCGGCACCATCCGCAGCGTGTATGGATAAATCATGAACAGGAGAAAGATCCTTAAGCACAGAACAATTACTGGTCATATGATTAAAACATCCCGAATCCAATATCCATGTAGGAATCTTACCCGACATTTTTAGGCTCGGAAACGCGGAAGAGATAGCCTTATTCACCATTTGTTCCAAAGTAGCCGAGGTCACTAGCACACCTTCAGAATTGGGAGCTGTCGCTGCCGTAGGAGCGGATGCTGCCGTTGCATAAGCTGGCCGAGCAGGAGGTGTTGGAGCTGCAAAACTCGAACCACGAAACCCAGCGCTACTGCTCCCAGCGCCGCCAGCAGCCGAGGTCCCTCCCGTCATGTGTCGTTGAAGAGTGCGACATTCAGCAATGATATGGCCCTTCCTTTTGCAATAGACGCAAAAGTTACGAGCTTTGCAATACTTCTGGGTATGGACACGTTCCTTGCAGTGGTGGGACTCAACTTCGGACAAGTTTGGTCGTTGAAATTGAGGACGATATGCAGCGAAAGCAAGAGCATCAGAACCGACGGGAAGAGAACGACCAGCAGCAGCCCCGCCAGGGAGAGAGCTGAACGCGGCGACATCGCCATGGCCCGGGTGAGCATCCAGATTGGCTTGCGTTCGAAGACGGGTCTCTTCGCGAATGAGGCTACCAAGAACTCCTTCAAATTGCAGCTGTTCTTGGTTAAGCAGGGTTGCCCGTACAGGTTCGAACTCAGGCTTGAGGCGCATCAGATACTGAATGAGACGAATCTTATTGCATTGAGCTTGAGCATCGGCGGGTAATGGCTGGTGTCGCAACCGTCCCGTCCGGGGGGTCCGAATGTCGTCGCGTCGGCATTTTGGGAGTCGCCATCGATCTTACTTGGAGTGGATCGAACACTCGTCTGTCGGCTCTAACCTTAGGGTCAGAACCGAGATATGGTCTGCGAAAACAAAGTTCTGGGTTCGGGAGTACGGTTACGTATGGGGAAGTTAAGCAACACCCCCACAACGCCCTAAATCGGTACTACTTAAGTCGATAAGTTTTTATGCGAGTTGGGTGTATTTTAGTAATAATTTTGTAATTTTAGGGTCCCACTGGACCATTTAACGATTTTATCGTATTAGTTGTGATTTAATTATACGCCCACTGACGTAAAAGTTTAAAGATAAAGTTAGTTGATTAGTTGGACTCGAACCTTATCGGTTGCCTACGTACCCGTTAGACGGGATCAAAGTCCACGTAGTTCGTTAGGGCTTTGAAAATTTAATTGTAGCTTTTATCACATTCCACTGAACGTAATTCTCGTATCATAATTTTATTGTTAATATTTAGATTGATTATTATTAGGATTTTAATTAGAAGGATGTATTTTGGTGTAATAGAAAAAAGAAATGAGACAAACTTAATCCGCATTTCACATTTCGTATTAAGGATTGCAAAACAAATAAAACTGAATGGGATGACAACATTAATGCATGATGGGTTGGCAGCCCAACTGGCTAAAACGCCTGACCAGGCTTGCGTTTGAACCGGAGGACGTGGGTTCGAAACGCACTGGTGGAGAAATTTTTAATTTTCTCGTTTTGATGCAGAGAAGGGGGAAGGGCATCCTAGTAATTTCACGAAAACGCGGTGGCAGGACATGTAATTTGCGAGAAACCCTAGGGGGAATCTCGTCCTTTCGTCAGTCGAGGTATATAAACCTCTCAAACAAACCCTAGAGCCGTGTAAGGCTCGGCCGCCGCTCAACCTCCTCTCTTACTCTCATTTTTCCTTCTCGATTCTTCTCCTCCCTCCTTCTCTCTCGCCCAGAAAACCCAACCCTAGCCCCATCTCATGCCGCCGCCGCTGCTCTCCTCTCCCTCTCTCTCTCTCTCTCGACGAACAGAGAAGATGAGGCGCCCTCTCTTCTTCTTCCTTCCATACCAGAAAACCCAAAATCGAAACCAAAAAAAACAGCCGCCTCTCTCCCTGTTCGATCCGCCTGAAAGGCCGCTCACACTAGACGAAATCAACCGAGATGGCCTCGATCTAGGTAAGATCGAAACATGCAAGTTTGTTTTTTTATTTCTGGTTTCTGATTATTGTTTGGATTCTACTAATTTCCTTCTCGTTTTCCTTTTTTATTTCCGGAGAAATTTCTAAACCGAGGGCTCGGGGGCGGCGATTACGGCGAGGGTAAGGGACGACTCCCCTAGGTTTGCATGTCGATTTTTGCGAGTTTTTGTTTGATTTTAGTTCGAAAACCGGGTTCTGACTTTCCATTTTACCGGCGATGGGGTTTATTCTGGGTGAGATTTTTGTTTGCATGTAGGTTTTCTTTTGATTTTTCTATCTCAGAAACCGGGTTCTGATCTTTGGGTTACATTTTCTTTTGTTTTTTACGGTTTATGGTTTCGGATCTCTGCCGAGGGAGGGAAGGGAAGGCGGCGGTCGCCGGCGGCGCGGCCAGCGCCAGAGCCGACGGCGAGGGTTTTGTTTGGGGTAAGTCCTTTATGGGTTTGCTTTCCTGTTCAATTTTCGTTTACTTCGATTTGGGTTTTTTCTGATCCTTTATTCTTTGATTTTTTACAGATCTAATACCTAGAGATTTTGGTGAGGTCTCCTAACTCTGATTAGTTTAACTAGGAAGGTATAACTCATAAAAATAATTTGTTTATAGATCCGAGTTTATGGAAGACGGTCTTGGCATTTTATGCCTTAATGAGTTATCTTTTATTGCTTGCTAATCTGGATTTGGTTTCGGCAGATCCTGGGTTTTGGATATGATAGGTCAAAGTCTAAAAATTAGACTAGTTTTTAACAAAAGAAACAAAAAAAAAAACTATACATGTGTGCTTTTGATGATGTATGCGATTTTGGTTACATTAAGTTTAAAGCTTGAAACTTAAATATCTTTCTCTCGCCTAACCTAAGTGGTAAAAGAAATTAATTGTTGTAATGCAAATGGTAACAGCCACCCTCGACTCTACATCACTGCTACTACTGTGCGATTTTGTCAGATTAAAGTTTTGGGTGATTTAAAAGAATTGGCAAGAGTTCTTGAATCTAAAATTTTTGGGTTTATAATGTTATTATGAACTGTACTTTAGCTTCTATTTCTATTCGGCTATGGTTGATTTATGGGTTTGAAATTTGAAGTTTTAGTGTGTTTATGGTGTTTCTGTTGGATTTGGTTTTAAGACTAAAATCATATTTGTTTCTGTTTATGAAATCTTGGCGATTGAAAGCTGTGTGTTGGTTTGAGCTATATGTTCTTAAAAGAAATTGAAATTTGATTAAAGTTTAACATGATCTTTACCAAAAGATTGGGCTAATGATGGCAACTTGAGCAAACGGATTTAGACAGGGGGTATAAGTTTATTGCTGCATAAACTGTGCTCAATTGAAATAAATCGCATATATGCAGATTGCGGTAGTAGTATATTGCTAAAATAGAAACTGAACCGATGGATAAACTTAAACGAGCTCAATTAAGTAAATAAAGCTGATAGAGATAAGCAACAAAGCATATGGATTATTAGTAAAACGAAGATCTAGATTACGAACACTAACCTTGTTGGGATTTCTGACTCTTAAGAATCCATGCTTTATGCTCCTACCTCTCAAACCTCCGAACTGGAATGAACTTCTTCAAAAAGAAAGAACCAGAAAGTCTTCCCATTTTTGTTTCTGTAGTCTATTTTCTCCTTTTTTTTCCCCCTAACAGTGAGCCCAGAGAGCTCAATTAATAGCAAAAATTATGCCTCGTTGCCCAATTCTGGTTGGCTGATTTTGAGGCTGCGTTTGGGAGCTACACCTCACTTGGACGGTTCTGACATGGTCAGGGTGTAGATAGGGTTGGCATATGATTTTGGGCCGAGTTGGCCGAAATGGGCCTGGAGTTGTTTGCGATCTGGAAATGGGCTTGATCCAGTCTTGCACTTGGGCCAAAACTAATCTGTTTTCCTCTTTTATTTTTGCAGGTGCACGAATTGTTTGGGCTCAAAGTAGGAAGGCAATCACTTCAATTTGTAATTAGTTTATTGTAATTATTTCTAATTCTCGCTTTATTTGGAGGTCATTTTCCAAGTTGTACGATGTATCATATTTGATAATAAAGCTCATTCCACTATCCAATTTGTCTCATTTCAAATGTACAACAAACTTTGCACATCCAATTGAGAACTTATATTTAAGATTTGCCACTGCTAATCTTAACTTAACTGTTAATTATGCCCTAGAATCGACTAGGAGCAAATTTGACAATTGTTGGTTCATATTGACTTGCAACTGCTAGTCTCAACCAAACTATCTTCAACTTCTTTTTTTAAATATAATTGTAGTATGACGTGACAATATTTATTTTCAATAAAACAATTATCCCGGACAAAATGTGGTGTCTACAGTTGCCCCCCTTTGTATATCTCTTTGTATAAAGAGTTATACAAAGTTCTTATAAAGACACCACATTTTCTAAAAGTATCATGATGGTTTTGTTAGGGTCCTTGAAATAGGATGTGCTTTGAGGATGATGTTAGGATAGCGAATGATTTAGTGCGTTTGTATAAGATTTCCGATAGCGAGAACTTCTGTTTCTTTGATCATCTTTGCTACTGATGGAAAATTTACGTTTTTATATAGCGTTCGCCAACGCGAGTAATTTTCTAATACTCACTTTATTGTATTTCTTTGATGCTCGACAGCGTCGACGGTTTCTTCTGATGCCCGTCAATCATCTTCTGCTATATTTCGTAAGCGCTTGCCAGCTCCGGTTAGGTATTTACTGGTAGGGGCGCTCGTTATCTCTTATGCGTTATTGAATGATAGAGGGGCTCGCCAGCTCCTATGAGGTATTGATTTGGTAGGGGTGGTCCTCAGCTCCCGTGAGGTATTGAATGGTAGGGTTGTTGCTCAGCTCCCGTGCGTTGTTGACTGATAGAGGGCTCGCCAGCTCTTGTGAGGTTTTGATTGGTTGGGGCGCTCCTCAGCTCCCGTGCGTTGTTGACTGATAGAGGGGCTCGCCAGCTCCTGTGAGGTTTTGATTGGTTGGGGCGCTCCTCAGCTCCCGTGCGTTGTTGACTGATAGAGGGGCTCGCCAGCTCCTGTGAGGTTTTGATTGGTTGGGGCGCTCCTCAACTCCCGTGCGTTGTTGACTGATAGAGGGCTCGCCAGCTCTTGTGAGGTTTTGATTGGTTGGGGCGCTCCTCAGCTCCCGTGCGTTGTTGACTGATAGAGGGGCTCGCCAGCTCCTGTGAGGTTTTGATTGGTTGGGGTGCTCCTCAGCTCCCGTGCGTTGTTGACTGATAGAGGGGCCCGCCAGCTCCTGTGAGGTTTTGATTGGTTGGGGCGCTCCTCAGCTCCCGTGCGTTGTTGACTGATAGAGGGGCTCGCCAGCTCCTATGCAGAGTGGGTGAATGGTTTTTTTGGCTGCGGTAAGCATACTCGGGAATTTGGTTGCCCCCTCGCGGTATGCGGAGCGGGGTTAGGTTTTCTACATTGTCCGTGATAGTCGACGAAACAAGTTTTAGAAGGAGGGATTTCATTTGCTCGTGAAAGCCGACGAAGCAAATTTACTTAGTTATCTAAACTGCCCGTGACAGTCGACGGAACATGTTTAGCAGAGGGTATAATTTGCTCGTGATAGTCGACGAAGCAAATTGACTAGGTTCTCTAAATTGTCTGTGATAATCGACGAAACAAGTTTAGCATGAGGGTTTTAATTTGCTTGTGATAGTCGACGAAGCAAATTGACTAGGTTTTCTAGATTGCCCGTGATAGTAGACGGAACAAATTTAGAAGGGTTTTTTAATTTGCTCGTGATAGTCGATGAAGCAAATTGACTAGGTTTTCTAAATTGTCTGTGATAGTTGACGGAACGAATTTAGTAGGGGGGTTTTAATTTGCTCGTGATAGTCGACGAAGCAAATTGGCTAGGTAATTTTTATTTTCCCGTGAT